GAACTAATTCGACTCTGAAATAGTTTGAGAGAGAAGGTTTATTAATGACGACAGATAAGCACAGCAGCTGTTCATGCAGTCTGAACACAGCACACGCCACGGACACGCTCCCAGTTTACAGGAGAACAGAATAATCCTTTAATTGTCCCACAAGGGGAAATTTGGTTGTGTCAGCAGCAATAAAAACACACATATATGCAAAAAGAACAGGACACAGAACAGAAAACACAATTTTTACATATTTAAGATGAGAAAAGCAATGTGAGGTTATAACAGTAGAAGCTGCTGCAGTGCTGATGTAAACCTCTATGATTGTTGGGTGACTACACAGAGGAAGAGGGTCGTCCTGTCATGATGCTTCTGTGTTTCCTCTGAAGGAGGTGTCAAGGAGGCGCTGCAGTGTCCTCCCAGGAAGCTGTAACCTTTTCTGGGCTGCAGTTGTCTGTGCGGCTGCAGGGGGCGCTGTGGAGCAGCTGTCAGGCTGCAGAACCTCAGGGGAAGACGGACGGCTGCCTGCTCACGCTTTTTGTGCTTTTTTTCGCTGGTTTAACGGATAAAAACGCCTCGGTCACCATGGCAACAGGCCGGCTGGTGGAGGTGTACCTGGACCTTCTATCGCAGCCCTGCCGGGCGGTGCACATCCTGCTCACCTGCACCAAAATCCCGCACAGAGTGCGCGCCGTGGCGCTGCGGAAAGGTGAGCTGCTGACAGGCTGGTTAACCAACCAGCCGGTTAACTAACCGACTAGCCGAGCGGCTAACTAGTCCTCTGACGGCCTGCTCACCCGTGTACGCACTCGGCGCACTCAGAGCAGTTTGTGGGCACACAACTTCAGCTGAACTCCGACCCGAAGAACTTTGACCTACATCCGAGCGGTGCACAGAGCCCGCCAGACCTCACTCAAAATCTCCGGATTTATGCTCTCTCTGACCCCGTGAGAGGAAACTGCATCCGAACCGAACTGATCCTCATAGAAAACGTCATGAGACTGGTCGGGGACATTCGGCGCTCTTAAACTCACCGAATGTCCGATTTTCACACAGTTTACATGTTTCGGAAACAAAAAATAACAACAGATCATTATTCTGGGAATCTTAAATCACTTGATTTCCCATCGGAGTTCTGAATGAAGCTGCTGCTCAGACTTCTGTCTGCATTAGAGCGCACACGCTGCAGGCCGCTTTATATGACCTGAGTTTTGAGTGGACTTTGTTTTTAGCTTCTCTTGTGTGTGCAGGAGAACATCGGACTCCGACCTTCACCAAGCTGAACCCCATGCAGAAGGTTCCTGTCATGGTGGACGAAGGCTTTGTCCTCACAGAGAGGTA